GACAAATCAAGTTTTTTGAAACCCTAATTATTCAAAACCCTCTTCATCAATCCCTTTGATGAGCGAACTCCCACCTCGATCCGCCATATTGTGGCGAGTCGCGAAGAAGCTGCTCCATTGGTCCATCTTGACCTCCATCGCCACGAAGGCCAATTAATCCGAAATCTTAGATAATTATATGCAAATTTAGTTTCGGCATTTCATCGAACATATGGTGAGTATTTCGGGTAAAGGTCTTATATCCAAAACTAGAGAATTTCATCGAACACGTGAGTATAAATCCAAACCAAATCGTCGATAACTACTTCAATGCTATTCGGTTCGAGTCCTCTCGGTCGAAATGCAGAGCGAAACATGGGCGATTTGAGGCCATAGGGTAAAGGAGAAAGATGGTAGGCCAGATCCGGCGACCGAAGCTCAACTCTGTGATTGAGAGCGATGATGGAGGGGTTGTCGAAGGTTGTAGCGTAGCTTGTAGGTTTGGTCGGTGATGGGCGAGCGCCGGTGAAGCTGTGGCCAAGTACCTCTTTGCACATGAATAGTGGCAAGGGTGTAGAAGGGAGAAGAGAAGAAGAAATAAATAGAAAAAAAAGAAAAAGAAAAAATGAGGAGTGGAGGAAGAAATGTAAACATGGAAATGCCACATGAACTGGATTTTTCAATAATATGGCAAGTCATATAAAAATTTTAACTATAAAAGTCACGTATTATTTATGGTCGGAATTTCTTGCCATTAGCACTTAAGTGATCATTTTTTCTTCGATTTGGCATTCAAGTGATCTAGCGAAAACTTTTGACACTTTTAATGTCCTTCTTCCCGAATTAAAGTATCTCACATTACCAGTTTGTGGGATTTACCTACTTTTTTTTTTTATATATGGTGGAAAAATTATCTAATCAGTCATAAACCTATAGTGTAGATGATAATTCAGGCCTAAACTTTTCAATTTTGCCAATTTTCGATCCAGTCATCACCGACCACCCACGCGGTGCACCGCCACATTGGCGATTTCCCGACGAAAATTGGCCGGAAGGACTCTATTAGAATTTCACGCTAAGATTTAGGATTAAATCGACAAAATTTAAAAATTTATGACTGAATTGCCATCCGCACAATAGATTTAGGACCGATTGGACAATTTCCCCTACTCTTTATTTACATACGGTCTCTCTCCACGATTTAAAGTTAGTTTTCAGATTGGATTTTCTAACACTAGATGTATTCGATATCCCCGGCAGCACGAATTTATAATCCACGATTTTGTGCATAGGATACTCTGGCAAAACATATTCAAAGCACGACCCCTCGCGCAACAAGTGCATGATGCAAAGCTTTATACACGCATGCCAGATAACCATGGATTCCTCCTGACGAGTTTTACCTTACCTTTCTCTTCCTTTTCATCTATAATCACCTTTGATTTCTCTATTAATTACCTCCAAGAGCTTTTTATCGTGCCCTTTAATCAATTCGACATGAGAATAAGAATTGATTCTCGTGCCGGAGTGTCGGTCGTGGAATATTCGATCGGAGTGTCGCGTTGTCTCTGGAAAAAAGCCGTAGCCATCGATAGTCTAAGGCGGTTCATACGTCTCTCTCTGGGTCTGTTTAGAGAGTGTCCATGTACAACGATCGTGTTCTGCAAGTAACTTATGATCAATGGTCGAAATGAATGCGAAATATTGATCATGGGTATCGAAAAGACCCGGATTGTGAAAATCTTGGAAATTCGGGTTGTTTCGACCTTCGATTTGTGTCTGAACGTGTAAGTTCATTTCGACAGACTTAGGCTAAACGCTTACGCCCGTCAAATTACCGAAAATTCCGGGTCTTTTAGCTACAAATTGTATTATTCATGCACTCAAATACTTTATCGAAAATCAAAACTTCTTCCGTACTAGGACGGACCACACCCAAGTAATGGCTTTTCTCAAGTCCCCTTTTTTTGAATTTCCACAAGAAAATAAATATTTATTTTATTTCAAGATTGAATGCCCACCGTGTGCTTCACGTTCCAATGTCCCAAGTTGCGTCTCCTCAACGGCTCTCATTATCTGGCCAACATCGGACCATAAAATGTTCTGTATCCATCTTGCAAAATTGACCAATTGAAATGGACATTTCGAAGCTTATTTTATGTAATAGTTGCCTCAAATATTTAGCTTATAATATATGATCTGAAAAATTGTGGGAGTCTCTGTGTTATCTGAGGCTACGATTTGTAGTCCGGATGATTTGATAAATTATCATATTCAGTGTTTAGCGACATCCTCTGAATGAGATATATTAAGATAACATGTAGGATAAGAAATCCGTAACAGGGGTGGGATAGACTTGGACCGGATAACAATAACTTTTATGAAGGGAAAAGTATCAAAAAAGTCCTAAACATATTGCATTTGTGCCATTCGGTCCTAGGCATTTAGTTATAAAAATTTTCATATCGATACTAATTCAGTCCAACCGACCAATTATGGTAGCCGACCGTCCTACGTGGCTAGAGCCGGCGAGGGCAGCCCTCGCCAGAGGCTGAAAGGGCGACCTTCGCCTGTGGCTGGTCACAAGCCAAAGGAAAGAGCGAGGAAAATAAAAGAAGGGAAAAACAGATAAAAAGAAAAACGGTACATTGTTTCAAAAAAATTAATTAAAAAACTCAAAACATCATTAAACTATTATTAAAAATATCACGCCAGCGTCGATCGTGCCACGACGTCCGCGTAAATGATTTCCGGTCTAAATTGGCCGGATAGACTGAATCGGTACCAATGTAAAAAGACTTAAAACTAAAGCGGTACAATCGAAAGATTTATGATCGATTTGGTACCGGTACAATATATTTACGACTTTTTTAGTACTTTTTTCTCTTATAATTCCACGTCCTTTGAGTAAATGCTAGCTAGCTCTAGTCACGTGTTGGCTTTAAATCTCTGATGGTCCAAAAACAACGTACGAAAAGTCAAAAGAGCCATCACCCTCTCCTTCAACTTTTGACTTCTAGGGTTCCATAGTTTCACATTGGTGGTCAGCTAAAAACCCCAAGCAAAAAGGGTAGACGACTCGCGACGGCTATGTTGAGAAGAGAAGAAACCAGAAATGTGGGGGGAAACCCAATTGCAAAATTCCCCTTGTCTCGCCCTAATTAGTAACTTTAAGAGTGTCGGGATCGCTGTCGGGGGGGGAAAAAAGAAAAGGAATCGCGAATTCATTACGCGGGTGAAATGCTGAACAGGACTGATCGAGGCGCGAGAGCTGGAAGCGATGCCGATGCCTTCATATGATGTGTACATGTGACCCTGATCTTATCCCTTCTTTTAATGATATCGGTCCGGTATAAATCGGTACCTAAATTTGCAATTATGACTTGGATCGTGACATCTTCCTAACCGGCATCGTCCCTGTGACTAGGTAAAACCATCGACGGCCGAGAAAAAAAAAAGAGAAAAGAAAAAATAACCAAGTTGCCAATTAATGGTTTTTCGAAATTTCACAAGCATAGGTTTTCACATGTATTTTTGCTTTTGCATTTGCATATGATAGCCTTCTCTTGTTTCCCATCTAAATTTTTAAAAATTCTACGGTCCAATTCATACGATCGCAATTCTAGAAGTTGCTGTTTTTGTTGTTATCAAGACATTCAAGACGGTGGCGACATCTACGGTATTTTAGTAATTACATCACGCATCAATACGCGGCACCTACGTATTTAAAAATTATAACATTTTAACATTGCGAAGTTGTTGACATGCAAAATTCACGTAGAGTCGAAGATCCTTTGCTCTCTGAAATGTAAAAGGATAACTATTTTAAATTTAAGAAATTACAATAAAATGTATTCATTTTAATATAGGCCCGATTCCCTAAAAAAGAACCGTGACTTTAGGATCAATGTCAATTTTGCTCCAAACTTTTTATCCTAAAAAAAATTCGTGACTTTTACTCTAATCCCAAATCTGCCAATGCGCCCAATAATCACCTACCAGTTTCCTTCAAAATTATCAATATTTGGGCTAGTTAGAGGTTCATCAATGGAACCTGCGTCTTCGCCTTCGAATAAAACAAGAGTGTTATCCTGATGTTAATGATCTCAAGAAACAAGCGTCGATTTTTGGTGCATGGGCAAATTTTGGACTAGAGTGAAAGTTTGAAATTTTTTTTTCAGATGAAAATAATGTTCGGGGCATAATTGTGATTAAACCTAAATTTGAGGTTTTTTTAAAGGGAATTAACCCGTTTAATTAATATATGGTTAATACCATAAAAAAAATCCCAAAGTGATATAACTGTGAAAAATTTACCCTGAACCAATTTTTTAACCACCAAAACCCTAAACTGGTACACCCGTGACAATTTTACCTTCCGTTAGTTTCCGTTGAATTTTAACGTCAAACTATTGAGTTAGATGACACGTGGCAGTTGATGGGTGTACCAGTCTGGGGTTCTACCCCTCATGTATACCTATTTGTGATTTTTCACGGTATTAATTCAATTTAACGAAGGACGGTAAATTCGTCACAAGCATACCGATTCAGGATTTTTTGGTGGCCAAAAAATTAGTTCGGAGCAAATTTGTCATGGGTGTACCGGTTCGGAATTTTTCCGTGGTATCAACCCATTAATAATACATCGGCAGTCGTTGAATATTCTCGAGAATTTTCCGGTATTTTCATGTTAATTTCAAGTCAAGCCAAATTTCCCAAAATACGGCCAGAATTCTTCCCCGACGCTTCCACGTCATCGGTGGCACGCAATCCCATGCCGCGCGCACCCACGCCCGGCCCCGTCAGCGCGACCGGAGGGCTCCGCTCACGTGACTACCCCCCCGTGACGACGAGCCCCGCCGCTGACGTCGGCATCCGACGTGGCGGCCGATCCCGCCACGTGGCACCGGGTCAACTATAAAACGTCCCCCCCCCTCCTTCGTCTCCTTTCGTCTCCTCCTCTGGTGGCTCCGAGGAAAACTCCAAAACGAACAGAAGATTACAGAACGGAAGAACAGCAAAACGGAGGAAGAGAGAGAAAGAAGAGAGAGAGAGAGAGAGATAAGAGGTTGTAGAGAGAGAAAACCTCCGCGGAGACTTTGAGGGAGGGAGGGGCCGCCGGAAAGAGTTCGGGCGGAGGTGAATCTGGGGAGAGGCAGCGCGGCGGCGAAATGTCGACGCCGTTGGCGGGGAGCGGCGGCGGGGGCGGCGTGGCGGTGCTCTCGGGCGCCGTCGAGAGCGGCGGCGGCGGCGGCGGCGGAGGGGGCGCGGTGGACTCTTCGTCCCCGTCCCCGGCGGCGGCGGCGGCGGCCGCGAAGTGCTGCCTGGACAAGCGGGTGCTCAAGTCGCCGATCCTGATCTTCCTCTACTTCCACAAGGCGATCCTCAATGAGCTGGAGGCGCTGCACAGATTCGCGGTGGCCTACGCGACGGGGCAGCGCGCGGACATCGGGCCCCTCCTCGAGCGCTACCATTTCCTCCGGTCGATGTATAAGCACCACTCCGGTGCCGAGGACGAGGTACCGATTTTGCGACTTTCTTTCTTCTTCTTTTTTAACCTTCTGATGCCGAAATATACATGCGCGGGTACAGGTTTATGTGATTTTGGGAATGATTTAGTGATTGCTAATCTGAAGCGGAGGTCTGTGATCAGCGTGTTTGGTTTGGGGAGATGGTGATGGAGATTGGTCTGTGGAATGGTTGAATTTGGGGAGAGCATTCGCTTTTCCTCTCCGAGCGCTCGAAATTTTGCCTGGAGATTAGGAGAGAACTGGTAGCTTCAGCTCGTCATTCGCACTTACCATGTTTTTCTGATGAATTGCGATGAGTTGATAATTTGGCAAAGGATGGCAGTGGTGCGCTTAGAAATAGAACTCCCTTTTCTCATCATAACTAATTTGAACATTTTGTATGGGTTCTATATTAATGCATGTGATTATATGCGCTGTCGTGCAGCTGCAAAGACGCTCGTCATTTGTATGCTGGAATAACCATCTGCAATTCAATTTGCTTGCATAAAAGTGAATATGCTCATGCTATGACTTGTTCACTTATGTAATCATCCTCTGACTGGGTTCCTAGAATTGAGAGGGTTACATAGGAGCTCGGGCTTTGATCTGTAGAAGCGACTTCTGTTTAGTTGCATTGTTACATCTTCTGGACCCTTTTTAGTTTAAGTTGCCACTATGGCTGATTGTATACGAGGAAATGGTGCTTGTTTGATGTTATCGTCAGAATGAGTGAGCTCTTTTACCACACGAGTCAGTCTTCATTCTGCCCAATATGAAGTTATGACCAATTTTTCACTTGAGCTGCAGGTGATCTTTCCAGCTCTTGACATACGCGTAAAAAATGTGGCCCAAACATATTCCTTGGAGCACGAGGGTGAAAGCAATCTTTTTGATCATCTATTTGACTTGCTAAACAATGCTGCACGGATGGATGAAAATTTTCCTAGGGAGCTGGCGTCTTGTACAGGAGCCCTCCAGACATCAATTAGCCAGCATTTGGCAAAAGAAGAGGAGCAGGTATGTTCTTTGCATTCTCTATTTAATGGTATAGACTACAGATCATCAATTTGTTATGAGAAAGCATGTAATTTTATGACTTGACAGCTGGGAAATATGGGATGTGGTTGACTGCTTAGAATGTAATGTGTATATCCATTTGCAGTTTGTGGCTCTGTACGACCTGTTTTAGCATCTTTCACTTCGTGATGCTTTCCACTTAGCATTCGCAGTTAAGCATGGTCTCTACTGATCCCATGGTGTTAGCAAGTTTGGAAAAATAATCAACAACAAATTGCGCGTCAAGATACATGGTCGTAAGTTTCAGTGCCATTCCAACGAAGGCAACTTTCTTGGGGCACCCTAGTTGTCTCATGCCCTGTTAATTAGGTGCAAGCATCGATTTCATTTTATCCTCTGTACCTGCCTGATTTGATCCAGTTTCTTGGCTCAGGAACTCTAAAATTTATCCTTAGATTGGTTCAGTTCCCAGTTCCTGGTGTAGATACACCGGTTCAACCTGAGAACTGGAAGTACCACGCTGGTTACATGGTTGAATAATCCTTCTCTTATGAAAAGGAAAAAGAAAATTATCCACTTCATGCCAGCAAAGAAGTGAAATTGTGACTTAGGGCCTTGCGCACAGGACCACTCAAGTGACGGGAGTTCATTTGTTGACTACCGGTAGCCTTTAGGAAAAAGTTAAAACCACAACCTATGGCCACCTCTCTTCTTTGCTCAAGTGCATTCTCTCCCTTGTTTACAGCAAAATAGAAACCTTACTTCATCTCTCTCTCTCTCTCTCTCTCTCTCTCTCTCTCTCTCTCTCTCTCTCTCTCTCTCTCTCTCTCTCTCTCTCTCCTTCCTTAGGCTGTGTCATTAAGGCCAGAACTCCTAAGATTATAAAAGAAAGCATCATCTTCATTTTACTGGATCATTTATAAATTATTGTACTTATCTGAAATCATCCGAGTCCCAAGGAAGATTTCGTGCAGTATGGAAGCTACTACGTGGTTGTGATACTTATATTATTTACTTTTATTTCATTGATTGTTGATTCTGTGAGAAACCACTGCTGGGCCCCAAGTTCAGGAGGGCACAGCTGCCAGTGCAAGTGGGGGTTCTTTGGACTATTCTATGTATTTGCATGCCGCTGTTTGATGTACTACCAGATACAGCTTCACTGCCGATATTGTTCAAGCAACAGTATTATTCCTTTGAAGAATCTTCTTTAATTAGGTTGCCTCTGCTTTTGCCAGGTCTTTCCCTTGCTTACTGAGAAGTTCTCGTTTGAAGAGCAGGCATCTTTGGTTTGGCAGTTTTTATGCAGCATTCCTGTGAATATGATGATGGAATTCCTTCCATGGCTGTCTTCCTTAATTTCACATGAGGAATATCAAGATCTCTGTAAATGTTTAAGCAAGATAGTCCCAGAAGAAGAACTTCTTCAACAGGTAATGTTTCGAATTACAGTCAAGTTGACAAGGTCAATCAAATGTCCTTTTGAAGACCAGAGGCGCCTTATTACAGTGTGTATTTGTTGAAGGTTATTTTCACTTGGATGAAAGGGAGTAATGCTGCCAGTACGGTTGAAAGATATGCAGATGAACCTCAGGCACAACATGCTGGAGAGTACAATATCAGCATGTCAAACACTTTGAAGTGTGCATGTGACTCATCAAAGACAAGGAAAAGGAAACACTCCGAGTCAAGTTTTTCCTTTTCTGACTCAACTTCCACGCATCCAATAGATGAAATATTACTTTGGCATAGTGCTATTAAGAGAGAATTACTTGAAATCGCTGACGAAGCAAGAAAGATTCAAGTATGTGGTGACTTCATGGATTTGTCATCCTTTAATGAGAGGCTCCAGTTTATTGCTGAAGTTTGTATTTTCCACAGGTAGAAAATTTTAGTGTTTCATAGTACAGCAGCTGATATTTGCTATTCCATTTCATTCCAAGAAAAGCTCAGTGATGATTTTTAAGCTGCAGAAGACGTTAGAAGAAAAACCCTTCTAGTCGATTGATATATTAGAAAGAAATTGCCAACTGGCTCATCTATTACAAAAATCAGCTCATCAAAGGGCCAAACTCTAATCTCATGTCCTTTTTTCATTATTGCGACAGTTCAGGCCTCAACATATATCTTGTGTTGTGTAATCTACAGATTATATTTCTTTTTGATTTTTCTTCTTGTCTAATCCCTGCATTTCTTATGATAAGAAAGTTTTTCTCTTGGTTGCAGTATTGCTGAAGATAAGGTCATTTTTCCTGCCGTGGATGGAGAGTTGTCTTTCATCCAGGAGCATGCCGAAGAAGAAAGTCAACTCAATGAGTTCCGGTGCTTAATAGAAAGAATTCAAAGTACTGGAGCAACCTCTACTTCAAGTGCTGATTTCTATGAGAAGTTATGCTCGCATGCTGATCAGATAATCGAAACCATACAGAGGCACTTCCATAGTGAAGAAGTGCAAGTGAGCTTTGTTGATACTTTGTTGTTTTCTTTTGTCATCTCGAGTCTCTATTCTGAGTCATGTGGTAACTTCTATAGAAAACAGATGACATTGGGGCGAGAAAAATATGGTTGTCAAACCAACTATCTGCGAAATTTTGAGGCATATTATAGGTATAAGAAGTATATGGCTACATCTACTAATATCAATGGGTGGATAGGATTTAAAAGAGTTTTGTTTCATAGCAAATCTCCTATGTTGGTACAGCAATACTTCCACTATCAGAAGATAAAATAAGATCAACTGGCTCTTCAGAGTATCAATGACCTGATGCATGAGTAGAACCTGTTCCTCCAGATAATCTTTTTCTCCATAAAGCTACTTTCATGTACAGGTTCTTCCACTGGCTAGAAGACATTTTAGCTTCAAAAGACAACGGGAGCTTTTGTATCAGAGCTTGTGCATGATGCCTTTGAAGTTGATTGAACGTGTTTTGCCGTGGCTAGTAGGTTCTTTAGGTAAAGAGGAAGCTAAAAATTTCATTAGAAACATGCAGTTGGCAGGTACCAAATGATGGACTCTGAACTTATAGTTTTGTGAAAATTGTGACATACCTGCATGAAGTTACCTAATCTTTTGAGGTTAATCTCACTTTTGATCTGTTTGTGTACCAGCTCCAGCATCAGATGCTGCTCTGGTTACGCTTTTCACTGGGTGGGCTTGCAAGGGCCATGGTCAGGGTGTATGCTTATCTCCCTGTGGAACTGGCTGCTGCCCTTTTAAAAGGTCTTCAGACATTGAAGAAGATTATATTCAACCATCTTGTGCGTGTGCTTGTGCATCGTCAGCGCATTCATTTTATGCCCAAGCTGATGATGCCAAAAGACCTGTCAAGCAAAATGCAACTGTATCATGTGAAGACGGCAACGCCCTTGATAAATCAGAAAATTTGAATGCCTATGAACTGCCCTGTAGTGATAGGTCTTGTCATGTCCCAGGTTTAGGAGTAAACTCTAGCAATCTGGGATTGAGCTCTTTATCCACAGCTAAGTCTCTGCGTTCTCTGTCTTTTAACTCCTCTGCTCCCTCCCTTAATTCCAGTCTTTTTATCTGGGAAACGGATGGTCAATCCTCTGATGATGGACGTATTGAACGACCCATTGATACAATTTTCAAATTTCATAAAGCAATACGTAAAGATTTGGAATTTTTAGATGTGGAATCTGGAAAGCTCAGTGATTGTGATGAGACATTCCTCAGGCAGTTCATTGGCAGATTTCGCCTTTTGTGGGGATTGTACCGAGCTCACAGTAATGCTGAGGATGAAATTGTCTTTCCTGCCCTGGAATCCAAAGAGGCTCTTCATAATGTTAGTCACTCATATACACTTGACCACAAGCAGGAAGAAAAATTATTCGAAGATATCTCATGTGTTCTTTCTGAGCTTTCACACCTCCATGAAAAATTGCACAGAACTTCTCTATTGGAGCAACTTGGTGGAAATAATGATGAAATTGCTGGTAGTGATTGTACACTAAAGTACAAAGAACTTGCAACAAAGCTTCAAGGAATGTGCAAGTCTATCAAGGTTACTCTAGATCAGCATATATTCAGGGAAGAACTTGAGTTGTGGCCATTGTTTGGTAAACACTTCTCAGTGCAGGAACAAGACAAAATAGTGGGTCGCATTATTGGAACTACTGGAGCTGAAGTGCTGCAATCCATGTTACCATGGGTAACGGCTGCACTTACACTGGATGAGCAGAATAAAATGATGGACACATGGAAACAGGCGACAAAAAACACGATGTTTAATGAGTGGCTAAATGAGTGCTTGAAAGAAACTGGAGTATCATCTTTACAAGCTCAATCATCAGAGAGCAGCACATCACACAAAGGTTTGTTTCTTAGGTCTGTTTCTTTTAGGGTAGTTGTAAAGAGCAGTAAGATTTTCATTATCTGATTGAATTAAATTTATATATATGATGGTTCAATTGATTCTCTCTACATTATTATGCAGTTTTCCCTTTAAAGATGTGTGAATTTTGTCTGTAGGCCTTGAGCTTCAAGAGACACTTGACCAAAGTGATCAGATGTTCAAGCCTGGGTGGAAGGATATCTTTCGAATGAACCAAAATGAGCTCGAGGCTGAGATTAGAAAGGTTTACCGGGATTCAACTCTTGATCCTCGAAGAAAAGCATATCTTGTCCAAAATCTTATGACTAGGTAGGTCTCCGGCAGGAAAGTCTAGTAACTGCATTATGTAGGTCGTGTGTTATTAAGTTCGTAAAGTATCTGTACCCCTTCCTGCATTCTTCTAACAATTGTTGAGTGATTGACCAATCAATCGCTTGTTATAGTCGCTGGATAGCAGCTCAGCAGAAGTTACCTCAAGAAGTGATGGGAGAAACTTCAAATGGCAATGAAATAGTGGGGCGTTCACCATCATTCCGAGATTCAGAGAAAGAAGTGTTTGGGTGTGAACATTACAAAAGAAATTGCAAACTTCGAGCTGCATGTTGTGGCAAATTGTTTACTTGTAGATTTTGCCATGACAAAGTGAGTGATCACTCAATGGATAGGTAAGTAGCTGCCGCCATCACTTCTCATCATAATTTAGAGCTTCTGTATTTGTATACACATTAATTTGCTGCTTGACCAATGCAGGAAAGTAACCAAAGAAATGATGTGTATGCTTTGCTTGGAGATTCAGCCGGTTGGTCCAATTTGCACTACCCCTTCTTGCAATAGATTTCCAATGGCAAAGTACTATTGCACTATATGCAAATTTTTTGATGACGAAAGGTAAACTGAATACACTGAATTGATTAGCCTACCACAAGAAACTATTGATCACCCTCACAGTGCAAGTACTCATAGTCGATGGTTTGTAGAGCTTGCTTGGTCAATTTTGAGTGAACACATCTTTGATGGCTACTTCATGAACCACTAGTTTAGCTTCTCGAGCTGTCTATGACTTATCTGTCAATATGATCTTTTATCCTTGCTTCTTTCGGGTCATTTGCTAAGATTGTCGTCCTTGTTTGTGTGACTTCAGGAATGTGTATCATTGCCCATATTGCAACTTATGCCGTGTTGGAAAGGGTCTTGGAGTAGACTATTTCCACTGCATGACATGCAACTGTTGTCTAGGGATGAAATTGGCAAGCCATAAGTGCTTGGAGAAAGGTCTAGAAACAAACTGCCCTATTTGCTGTGATTTCTTATTCACATCTAGTGCGACAGTCAGAGCTCTACCTTGTGGCCATTATATGCATTCAGCTTGCTTTCAGGTCTCTCTCTCTCTCTCTCGCTCCCTCCCTCCCTCCCTCCCCACAACCTCTATTTTTGAGGCATTTTTGCTCTGCTTGCTTCTAACTATTATTATCGCCTAATCAGAAATTGAATAGCACTTTCTTCAAATTTGTCAGGCATACACTTGCAGTCATTATACCTGTCCAATATGCAGCAAGTCACTGGGAGATATGGCGGTGAGAGAACTTTTTTATACCTTTCTTCATAGTGTGGCCCCTATATGTAATGCTCAATCCTTTTTGTTTTTTTATTCATTTCATGCGATGTTGATCGATTAAAAGATGAAGCATTCCAGACTGAACTTCCTTAAGATGTCGATACTACATGGATAAATTGATCAATAACATGCACCATGGTTTGGAATGTGGAACTCATGAAGTAGCATGCTCATGGTATAAGTTGAAAATTGGAGAACGTGAAAACCAATTCATGATGCATAATATATGATATAAAGGACCTGGTTGCATGCGGCAATTCATTTGTTAATGGATGTTCTTTGCTGTCTAAACTGGTTTGATTCCTGCGGTTTTCATGAGATCTCTCTCTCTCTCTCTCAAGAAGTTAAATGCTGCCGCGAACTTCTTTGCAACACCAAGTATGTCTGTTAATTTTCTTTGCATTTTACTCAGGTTTACTTTGGCATGCTTGATGCCCTGCTCGCTACTGAGGAGCTTCCAGAGGAATACAGGGACCGATGTCAGGTACGATTCTAACGGCATCTTTGATCATCATGAACATGGAGATCTCCCTATGCTAAAATTTAGAATTGATATTATTCCCCGTGTTTCTTCAGAAGAGGGCAGACGTGTGTGCCTAACTGCTTTGTTTTTTTGACAAAAACCTTATAAGCAAGTGTATGTTGCTGATTATCTTCCGGCAATCACACAAACTAAAAACATCGTCTCGTGTGGCGTCTCAGGATATCTTGTGCAACGACTGTGATCGAAAGGGATCGGCCCGTTTTCACTGGCTATACCACAAGTGTACGTATTGCGGTTCCTACAACACGAGGGTGATCAAGAGCGAGACGTTCGATCCCAACTGCTCAGACTCCCGTCAGTAATGTGCTTCTTTCTCCTTGATAGTAGCCGAGATTTGCCTAGCTTCTCTGTATATAGTTGTACAGCAAATTCTTTTATAGCAAAAATCATATCTCTTATAGGGACCAAGGAATTTTGTGCTTCTGTTTTTACGGTTTTCGCTTTTCCTGCGAGAAGAGAGATCGTGTCTCGGAGAAAGAAACACTATATAGCAGCGGCAATCATGTACAGACTTTTGCAGACTTCCGATATCTTATGATATTTGCTTCGCGAGTCCTTATCAAGTAATCATTCTTATGCTTTCGCTCGGCATTTCGCCACACGATCCTCTAACGTTTTAACTCTCGGCAGGCGACAATCCCATGGAACTGCCCCTCTATGAGTCCAGATGTGTTTTTTGAGTTTGTGCCGCTCGTCCTAATTTGCCATATCCTATGGATCTATTCCACCTTCTACGCACGATCCCAATTCTCTTTTTCGATGTCTCGAGCACCACGACGCCGGGACAAAGGACCTGTCCCGATATGACTCTTCGATAACTCAACCAGCTATTAACGCATACGCTCGAGACAATTTTTTGCAGACGCATTCCTTTGTTCTTTTGAATTAGACAAGATTGTAGGATGGAGAGCATCTGGGTCACATTCTCGATGATGGTATCTGTCTCGAGGCCGAGACATGTCCCCTCTCAAAATCGATCACTTTTGGTCAAAGACGTTCCTTTTTAATCTCCGCTTTGGTTTCCCCGTATCCCGTCGAAACCTCCCCCCTCTTCTCTAATTCAAAATTAGATGATCACCTAAAGCAAATCGTGCATTGAAGTTGTCAAGAACTTCGAGCAGATTTTCAATTGCCCTGGTCAAAAGTGCAAATCCCTATTCAACACCGAGAGAAGAGAGAAAAGTGGGACAATCCGGAAAAGATGGGGCGCCCTGGTTTTTGATGTCTTCCATGGCGATTGTTACATCTACCTCATGCTTTCATTGGAAAAATTTACATGCCTCGGAACATATTTTCTTCGTATTATGATTGATTCCGTCGCTCGCATGGTCCGTCGGATTGAGCTTACACTAGTTTCTCCTCGGTCTAACATGGTTGATACGGGAGCTTTCGTCAACGAGAATGAGATAAAATCTAACTTGTGATAAACATGACAGAGATCAGGAAACAGGGGAATCGACCGTGTTTTGTTCTTACTTCTCCTTGACCGTGAAACAACCCAAACAAAAGAGATTCGCGGCCCCCTGGGAAATGCATGCGGTTGGCAAGTTCAGCACCGGACTGACTTGAACCGTGCTCCCGTGCGACGCTCCGAGCCCGTGATTCTTCTTCGACGGAGTCTTTTGGAGCCACGGATAAGAATGAGACGTCGTCGTCGACGAGGAATGCGAAGGTTTGGGAATGTGACTAGCTTGTCTTCTGTGGGAAGACGATCTTCTCGGAGCCGGCACCCAACCTGTTGACTTGCTTCTTGACAGGAGTTGTGATGGGAAAACCGAGCTCTTGCTGGTGCAACGATCGCCGGAGTTGAGACTAGTGCTTCTCCTGATTCCCCAGAAAGACCAGGACTGAAGCTTTTCTTGATCTGATGCCGATCTTGATGGTGTAGATGCGATCTCCTCTGTTCTCTCTATCTTCTTGTCATCACCGCCGCATGTCGTGGGACTAGGAAGAGGAGTGAGGAAAGGGAGAGGCGCCGCCGCTTCGGATTCGCTTTTGGAAGCCCTTTTCGCCGCGAGACTCGACATCGACGACGAATGAGAGGATGGTAGATGCGGAGGTTTGGGAATCCGACTAGCTTGTCTTCTATGTGAAGAACCTGTTGACCTGCTTCTTGACAGGAGTTGTGATGGGAAAACTGAACCCTTCTTGGTGGAACAATTATCAGAGCCGAGACTAGTGCTTCTCCTGAATCCCCAAAAAGACCAAGATTGAACCTTCTCTTGATCTGATCCTGATCTTGATGGTATCAATGCAATCTTCTCTGTTCTCTCCGCCTTCTTGTCGTCGTCGTCGTCGTCGTCCCACGTCGGGGGACTAGGAATAGAAATGAGGAAAGGGAGAGGACCTGCTGCTTCAGCTTCACTTCTGGGGACCCTTTTTGCCGCCAGACTTTCGCTCTGTATCTGAAATGGAAGGATCATGCCGTTAGCGAAAAGCTCGTCCGCCGAAGAAGACGCGTGCTCGAGCCCGCCGTCGCCGATGCCGAACTCGAACTCGCGGTTCGAGCTCGAACGGAACGAGGATCCCGATTCCGCATTTTGTATTTCTACGCCCTCCTTGCCCTTCCGGGGGAGATCAAGGAAGCTCAACGCGCGAGTCACACACGTCTCCGAGCACATTGCTCTTGTTCCCAGGTAGAAATTTCGGAGGAAGAGATCAAGAACTGGTTTTCTGATGGTCACGGCACGAAGTTGTATTTAGCTTCAGAGGACTCGTAGGTGTGCTGTCTCGGTTCAAGAATAAAAAAGAAGGGCTAGCAGGGATGGGGATGGGGGCAAAAAGGATTCAAACTTGATGGCTAAGTTAGGGGCACAGGAAGGAATGACAAAAGGGATGGCTTTTGGTCTTTGTGGGGGACTGTGCAAGCGGGATGGTTTGCAGGGGGATTTATTGGGGACTGAGAAAAGAGGGAAGTCTTTTGGAGCTGAGAAGGAAGGAATGGGGGTGGTGGATCCTGGCAAAAGGAAAAAGGTTTGAAAAATCCTCAAATCATTTGAACATGGAGTGGCAGATTGAAACTGGCCCTTTGCCGGATAGAATAAGGGGGGGGGCAGACATATGAGAATATGTAAGGTTAGAAGGCATAGAACAAGTGCATGTGCCCATGGCTTTTTATTATGGGGGGCCGAGATGGAGAGAGAGGGAGGGAGACTTGTCGTCATACTTGGCAGAGGAAAATGCACACCAAGCACCCTTTGCAATTTGCAAATACTGGTGAAAGGAATCTGAGGATAAGAATTTCGGAGGAGACTATATACAAAGCAGTATTCTGTTTTTTTTTCCTCCCTTGTGTTCACGAGGGACCCGCGCCCGTTCTCGCTCGTGCCGGTCGCCAAGGACGAAGTTCGTGAGGGCTCTAAGGAGGCCCCCCCCACCTCCGGACTCGGGCGAGTTTTGGGGCGCTTCGCGATCGCGGGGATTCGAAGTAGCGCCCCGGCCGACACTGCCAGCGCTCGTGGGGCTACAAGAAATATATGAATCTCGAGCCGTTTTGTTTTGAACAAAAATCGCTACAGATCCGACCGATCAAGACTAACAAATCGATGCTGCGATTGCTTTATCCACGAAAACATGAAGTTTAGACACGGTACCAGTCAACAAATGCTCCCCGCGATACATTTTCTAAGCATGACTTTTTCCTCAACGTGTCTACTAAGTTACGATAAATTAACTATCTATATGGAGTGATAAGTTAAGAAATAGGCACGACCAATGTGGCAGAAGCTTATCCTAGAGGGAAATTGAGAAATTGACATGTGAACCACACAACCATCTTAGGGAATATTCAACACCGAACAATAAATGCTGACTAGCAAGAAGTTGACAGCTGCCTAGAGCTTGGGAGGGGGTAATTGACTGTCTCCTCAAGTTGATTTCCAAGAAGTTATAGCAATGGCGGTCTTCGGAGAGACTTTTCAGCGATTAAATTTCGTGCTTTAGTGGGTCAAGTGGGGCCAATCCCGCCTTTGGTCAAGAAAGGAGGAACCCAAAAAAAAAAAGAGAAACGAAAGATTTCTTCGTCAAAAACGACAGTCCCGTTTGACCTAGCTCGTATAATAAAAACCCATCCTACGTCGACGTGGCGTGTTGCTTTTCAATTGAGGGGATGTTCCCGTGGCGTCATCAAGGATTAGCATGCTTCTCTAACATTGGGATTAGGAAGGGGATTAGAGACCAAAATCTTGCCCGATTCGACCAATAAATGACCAAGTTGACCTGGTGTTCTTCTTACCCTTAGAGCACACGCAAGTTCTTTTCGGACCAAATTAGTTTTCACGTCAAGCAAAAGACAAAAAGATAAGCGTGTAGTTTTTTCTTGTTCATCTTAACACATTTTCCTTTCCATAGTCGCATGCTGGTACCACATGCGACGCTCCAATCACTGGTCGGTGTGGAGGAAGAATTAGACAAGATTCTCGTACACGAAATGCCCTCGAAGTTTCGCGAAATTACGCCGGTACCGTTTGCGAGGGCGCCGGAGCAATTCTCGGCTCGTTTCGTCGGCTACCCTATCACTAACCCGAGAAGAGGGACAAAAGAGAGAGAGAGAGAGAGAGGGTAGCTTCGAGTCACAATCCCAGTCCGCGAGATATTTTTCAAAGTAATATGATTAGCTGATTCTTATTTCTTCTCTATAGGAAACAGTATACGTAGACCCAAATAAAAGAATGATTTGTCACTTTTTTTAGTTCATCTCTTTGACGAAGCCTAGCCTCTCTCTCTCTAGTTCATGATTTTCTTCGTTTCGATTAAAATGTGTTGTTCATGGATCAGAGTCAAACCCACGACCATTTTTAGTTCGTCTTTGTTTCGTAAAATTTGTGCTCACATGCTCTTCTATTTTTAGTTTTCCAATGTTTAACTTCTTAAAAAAATGAAGATCGGGTGTTTCTTTTTTAATATTGCTGGATTCTTAATAATATATCAAATTTGGGAGTTACCGGGTTGGAAATGGGTTATCAAAATTATACTGTTAAAATATAGGTTAATGCGAGTTACAAGGGACTATACGAGTGACGCCCATTTATGTCCCATCCAAACCAGACCCGACCACCTCTGTCTGTAAACTGAAGATCTCAATTTGGTTCGGGTCCGATTTCGTAGTTTTCGTCTTGCCCTAGATTGGCTTCTCCGCTCGAGTTAGGCGGGGCTGAAGAAGGGAATTGCCGACCAATCTAGTCAGACCCATGGCCAGCTCTAGGGCAAATCTCCATGGAACCAAATAGCTGGAGCCAGTATTCTCAGTACTGAGACAGATAAAAATCTCTTCAAGACAAGCAGTAGCTTCCCAGATGACTTCATATCAATTTCTCACACAATACAGGCCAACTGGGACAGTCTAGCTCTTCCTGTCTTATGTACAACCATGGGCTAAATCAGAATTTCCCCAAAAAAAAAAAACAAAGACATCATATTCGTATATGCTATCGACAATTGCACGGTAGACAATTACCAGTTCTGATGCCAGAATTCTGGTCATCGCAGATCAATGATGTCGAATTTAAGGTCCGGGTTCATGTAAACATCTGTACACGCCTTGTAAATTGGCCCGCCATCCGAAGGCTGGTTATGAGGGTGAAACCCGCGCTGCTGGCACTGTCTTATGACTGACATGCCACCGGGTGTCGTCAACCGAAAAATCCCATGGGTTCTGCGCAGAGTTAACAACATGCATATCATGATCTGGACCATGCATATCATCCAGCAGATAAGGCAATAGAAGGAGAAACAGGCTAACCTCGAACCATCTCTTGGAGCCATTACTATGGCAACAGATTCTGGCAACATGATCTGGACCAAGAGGAAACAAATGAGTGAACAAATAAGTAGATAACAAAAGCATAATGACAAATCCACGTTTAATGTGCTACGCGAGCTGAATAGCCTACTTTAGTGGACGAAAGGAAAAAAAAAGAAATAGATAATGTTTACGACGAGCGTAATTTCTAGAAGCCACATCTTGGAATGGGCGGAAGAATAGGAAAGACTCGTGTATGATAGTATGCATGCATGTTTGGTGTGTGAATAAAATCTTCTCTCAGGCGGAGCGTCGCTGGCGATTTTATTACAATTGAACCATCTAGTACATGTCAACAGAAACTTTCTATATGTGAAGAGAAACTTTTTTCCTAAGTAAGGTAACTTCAAGAAAAGGTCAACTCAAAAGTCAAGAATTTGAAGATCAAGTAAATAAACTAAAAATCAATATACACTGATTGCCATGTTGACAACCTTTTCCAAATGCGAGAGAAGCACGACTATTCTTTTTTCCACATGTACCGCCACCTAACCAATTATAAGGGTGAGAAAGACCAGAAGAGATACACACCTGATATGAGTAATGGGTATGAAGATCGATCGATGACATGAAACAGGACTGTGTAGGATGCGTCTGAAATTCAACATTAAAGAACGATCAATCTCTCAGTGAAAAAAAAAAAAAAAACAAGTAGGAGCGTCCAATATGAGTTAGCAAAACATATGAAAGGCACATGCAGCTGACAATGAACCATGAACAAAGTTTGATTACCGACTGCAAGAGAAGAGAAGATACAAATGACAGAAGAAAGTCCTCTCCCCACAAAGGAGAAAGTTATGTGATCTCGTTATTTGCAAGGAGAGCTCTCAACTATACTGAACCACTGAGCAATGCAATCAGTTTTATCTGTTTATAGCCAGATCCAGGAGAATAACATGCAAACAAGAGTGAAGATTCCTCATCCTTCTCGTGATAGGGGAGACCCGAAAAGGAAAATGCATCCGCTGTTAAGTCATCAGATCATATTGCTTTTTGTGAATTACACTCTGGATGTTTGATAAAATTGTGGGAAGATACTCAGCTTCTAACCAATAAGTTCTGAAATACGCCACGGTTTCAGTTAACTGATGTTCACAACAAAACCAGTACCAACGAATTACTCCAGATCACCTCTTTTAAAGCATCCAAACAATAAATCACTCTTTTGTAGCGCGTCTCAGAGTCGCAGAAGGGGGTAAAAGCAAACAACTCTTTGTAAGCAAACTTCAGCCATCAAAAGTTACATGTCATCCAAAATATGTTGTTTGATCTAAACCTCTAGTAGACATTACATGAACCCCCTTGGATTTTGGCCAATTACACTGATACCCCATCCTTCATTTTGAAAAGATGAAACATAAAATTTCTCCCAACCAAAAGTGACACCATATTAAGTTTGTTCAGCTTTCTTGTCTTTAAACACCTCAACAAAATATATGCGCCATATATAGCAAAAAAAGTAGGCAAATTATATGCACCATTATCCACTCTACCAGACATCTTGACTAAATATAGCTCCAAAAATAAGTGGAGCTTTTAACACTTCTGATGGGGAAAAGTTTCTAAAATAGTGTCCTTGCCATAGAACCAAGGTGCAGGAACTTTAATAGTGTGTTCGTAATATAACTTTCTAATAGAAGGGAATTAGATGAATTTACTTCGTTTCTTCTACAAATCTGTGAAGACAAGCCTGATCATCTTAAAACTTATTATTAGATGGAATATGATCCTTCAGCACAATACTGAATCCACCTTTATCATAAAGACACAAGGCAAGAAGAGTTCACAAGCACCCCACAAAATACTCACATGAATCCACCCGAGTGGAAAAAGAGATTGCTTATCTTGCACTTCAAATATCTCTTCTTCATTTGTGGTCTGGCACTGATTTTAAACAAATGTCAGCAGGTGAAGAACATAATATGATCAATGAAAGAATGGTGACAGTTCAAATTTCTAAATGCGTGAGGCTGACATACAGAATCCGATGTTGATTCCTGCTTTGGAATGATTAGGGCAGTGACAAAGAATTTTCTATTTTTCTGTAATAAAGACATGGAGAAAATATTAGCCTCACAAATAGCAAGGAACAAGTTGAAGATTCTGCAGTGTTAATACTCACAAGTGAACCTGCAAGGATGCCACACGTTTCCAAATTACGGTCAGTATTGATCTTAGCCAGTTTCATAAAGGTATTCATCAATGCCGTTGACTGCAAAAAGAAACAGCAGCAAAATCAATGAGCACGCACAAATTCTCAGTCTGAACTCTCTAGTTAATTACGGATTATTACGGATTTATCATCTGCAAGGGTATTCTATCTCTAATTTATACACCGCATATTCATTAAAGTTCCTATGAACAAGTGCCCTGGAGACACTTGTTGAAGCATGCCTAGTAAAAAATGTCTCGAATTCCAAAGCATGATTGCTCTAACTCGATAAAGGAGGTTATAAACTGAAAGGGAACAATGCAATAAAGTAACCACGAGCAAAGGACTTCAAGACTCACAATGTGCAACTGCAGGGGAGACTCTGAACAAACATAATTATGAGATGCAGGCTTATCCAAACCACACGTTAGATCATTATGTTCGTGAGACACTCCTGGAATTAAATCTTGCACTTCTGCCAGAACAGGAGGAGGAGATGGCTGTCGAATGATATCTGTGTGAACAGTTGTTTCTGTAGTTTCAAAGGAGATCATCAGAGGTTCTTCCTCAGTTTGAGGCAACTTGTTGCCATCATCAACAACGAGATTTGAAACCAAACTGGATGTTCCCTTTTCCAAATCAGTGGAGTCCTTCTTAATTGCATGTTTGTCTTCTACAGATGGTAGCAGCCTGCTTCTTGCATAAGGTACAATTCAGTCAAGGGTGCAAGTGAAATCAAGATGAGAGGAAAGCACATACATACTACATTAATCACAGAGCTTACTAGGCCTCAAAACCTTTCCACAATGTATAGGTATTTAATGAATAGCAGGATAGACATTGAATTAGCCGTAGTACATAGAAGACCAACCTGGGTATTTCAACCGGAGTCAAGTCTATGTTGCTTGGATATTGAACCTAGTAATAGGAAAAGTCGGCATCCATCAGGATTGAAGAATGAAGAAAACGTTTAAGACCATAGTTACATACCCCTTTATCGCTCCTAGGTGGCTGCCAGTGCCCATTAAGTCCATTAGGCCCTAAAATAGAATGCCTGGAGAGAGTCTCCTCCTTCGGGCGCACCATGCTAAGTGATCTACAAAAATCAAGAGAAAAAATAAATAAGCTAAAGAAGTCTCTCATTTGCCAGCCTAAACAAACTTCTAGATTTTTTTCATTCATTCTAATCCAGCACACAAGAATCTCTCAAGAATAACAAATCAATTTCTTGCATGCTCGACTGGACTACATCTCACAAGAATCTGTACTTCAAGTTTAGCTTATCATCACAAACTTCACTTATGCATGTCTCATATCTAAGCAACCATTCCATACACGCATTGCAATGGGAGCATAATTTTACCTAGCCAATATATAGCAGAGTCATGACCAAAACAAAAATAATATATATAGCAGAGTGTCTTTAAGAAAATGGTAAGTGTGGCCATCAAAACGATAGCACAAAATTGCAGGGGGTACTAAGGGACATCAGCAGCTAGCCCACCACAAGTTCTCAAATGCCTGATAAGAGGTGCCTAGTGTGGGGTAGCTCACAATTTGACTGACCAATTCTATAGGACAAGTACACATCACTTTCATTGCATTAGTGGCTTGATTACGCAGAGAACAGAAAGAAAGTGGCCTGGAGACCTAACCAAGAAACCAATGTGGGCACCATCATATAGGAACTGTCAAATCTAGACCATCAACAGTATGAGTTGCTTGCACTAGAACAGCTGAACTTACAAGGAGTTCAGTAAAACTCCACCTGATACAAAATTCTAACTTAACAAGGTTATCAACAAATCAAAATTACTTTATCTTCCAAAATGTGTGGATGTTACCAAGAAACAACCACTTACAATTTGCGGAATTGCTCATTCAGTGGACTGGATTGCAGAGGCGGCTGGATCGTTGTACTTTGATAATTTGACAGTAGAGAAGCTGGTCTCGATACCTTGGATAATGCATAGCATTAAGATCGATGCTCCGTAAATCATAAAAATAGAAACGCATAACTCACACAACTTCCGACCGAAAAAAAAAAAAAAAAAAAAAAAAACAAAAAACTGACGCAACTTAAGTGAAGACAGAGTTAGGATAAGATGGTGGAAGAATAGGCTGTAATACCACTTTCATGTCGTAATTTGTCGAAGTCTGCTTTCTGACAGGAGTCCATTCCAGAGAATTACTTTGATTACGATAACCCCAGTTATTCATCTGGTTCGCCTGTTTCCTGTTAGAATCATCATCAATTTTCTGCCGCACTTTGGGCTGCAATTTCTCCAGCTCAGTCACTGCAATCCTAAGTTGCTACAAGAGAAACCATAAACCATGTTCACATGTGATCTAGAACAACACAGTATTTCTCATTTCTACATGAAGTGACATAGGAAACTAGGAACATACCTTTTTCAGTAAAACCTTCTTGTTTTGTGAAGATGCTCTATAATCTCGATGGCGAGGAATGGTTTCGGAAACCAAACTGAGGCAAAAGAATGGAATTATATATAAGGCTCTAGTGTAGTTTCTAGCAAATATGAGCAAAATTGCTTCTCCAGTCTCTTCACAACCGAATCAAGAATCTATTCACTGAACAGTAACACGTAAAGAAAAACTAGGGATAACATATTGTACCTCGAAAACCTGAGAAGCATAACATACAGATCTACAATATTATTCTCCTGTCGGAATATATTAGCCTGCATGCAATTGACACAGGGGAGATAAACAAGCAGTTAAGAATGAAAATTGATCCAAAAATTTGAGGGTAGGGTTCAGGAGCCGTAGACATAGAAGCACAGAACTGGCGATTCAGTCACGTCACAACAATGATCCATGACATGCAAGAACAGCAGCATGCGTCAATCAAACAATATGAAGCCGATACTCGTTTCAAACACCAAGCGTTCAGGGTCAGCCAATCGAAATCATAGAAGATGTTTTAGACATCCAGCAATCTACTGTAACATCTCAAGTAAGAAATTCTCCACGCGCACAAACCGCCGCGCACCATATAGGCAGAAACCAAGTTCCGAGTAACAATGAGAGAATCTATACATAGCAATTCGTCGGATGTAATGGAGACGGATTACCCCGTTTAAGCACGTGACGTGACCAATATCAAGAAACGAATGGCAAAGTCTGGAAAGCCCAGAATAGGCTTCACAGTCTCGTTTCCTGTCCTTATACATGCTATCACAAACTCTTTACCCTTTACCAAGACCAATCATTACGTCCACCATTGGCAATAAGAGTATCCACAAAACCGACTTATAACAGCAGACCTATCAGAAGCTCCACAGTGTTGCCTAGTCGCGAAGTAAAACACAATTCCGACATCCTCCGATCTTCAAAAACTAGCTAGCGAACTTGCAGAAAGCCACGAGAGGAACGAAATGCTCCGGAACTTCACAACCGACTGGCGACAATCAAACTAAGAAACGAGCCTCCACATCTCTCACGCCTCGCATTCGATTTACTCGAAGACCAAAATAAGAACTCAAAGGCACCGAGCGAATCAGAACTAACAGCCGAAATCAACATCCAGCAGCAACATCGAGAAGAAGCCGCGAATCGAGCAGGGGGGCGGGGAGGAAAAGAGAGAGAGAGAATCCCCGACGGACCTGCTTGAGGACGTTGTCGGCGATCCTGTAGTAGTAGCGGAGCGCGATGCTGTTGTCGACGTCGAGCCTCTGCGCGCTCGCGGCGATGTCGATCCTTCCCGAAGAGGAAGAAGAAGAAGAAGAAGAAGATGACCTCATCCTTCCGATCGAATCGATCCCCGCCTCGCTCTGCCTTCCACGCGCCCCGCCGCGACTTCCTCCGCTCCCGCTTTCCTTCTCGGAGAAGCGAGCATCCACTGCCGGAGCGCTCCGATTCGGGGGTTTTCCGGCGACCGATCGGGGCCGGTGGCGGGGGAGCTCGGAGGACGGCCGTCGATGGCTGCTTCGGCTCTCGGAGTGGGCGAGAGAGAGAGAGAGAGAGAGAGAGAAGGGGAGGACGCGATTCGACGGAGACGGTGATTTCTGGTTTGCCGCGAGGGTGAATTTGGAAATACCGGCGACGCCATTTGAAAAGGGGGCAAATTGTCCGAAAAATCCTGGACCGATTGCACGTTTTTTCAATTCGGTCCTCAACATTTTAATTTTGACAATTGAATCCTAAATCCTTTTATATTTTGTATATTGAGTTCATTCAGCTAATTTTGACTGAAAATTACTGACGTAAACAAATTTTAATAACCTTTTGCAAATTTTTTTTATTAATTTCTTTTTTTTTTTCCTTTTTTAAAATTTCCCTTCTTTTTTGATTTCAAAGGTCTAGTTATGAGCCGAGGGCCGGTAAAGGTCGCTCGCCACAACGAGGGCTCATGAGCCCTTGCCAGATCCGACGAGGGCCGCGGCCCTCGCCCCAGATTGGCAAGGGTTTTATGGCCCTTGCCCAAGGGTTGGCGGGGTCGCTGGTCCTCAACTAGTAATCGGCACTCTCGCTAGCCCTTTGAACGAAGAAAGAAAAAGAAACGAAAATTATTCATGTTAGCATTAATCTTACCAGGACTATCAGCATGCACATCATCAATTTCTGTCAATATTGGCCGGATGGACTTAATTAACAAAATATAAAAAGGTTTAGGATTTAATTGATAAAATTAAAAGATTTTGGGCTAAATTGGTAATATGGCAATAAACTTAGGGCTTTTTATGCAATTATCCCATTAGAAAATGGCCGGTTGTTTGGTTGTTGGGGAAGAGGAGAGAAATGTTGTCATAATGTCGCTCTCCCCCGATATAAGAAAAGTCAACTCTAATTCGCGTTTGGATGGTTGTGGCGGCGCGTTATGCGGGTTCGGGACGTCACTGCGCCGGATCTGGAATAGTACTATCCCGACTTCGGGATAGGATATCGGGATCGGGCCCAGATCCAGTTTAGTGACTTGGGCCGGATTGATAAATGGGCCAGGATGATTGGGCTTGGTTTTGTAGATGTTGGACATTTTTAAAAGACCGGGCCAACTTGGGCCCCGAAAAATGAAGGGGAAGTTCTACTTTTGGTCCCTAGAAATTGTGCATTTTCTTAACCAAGTCTCGAACTTTTAATTTATCGAATTGAGTAATTGAAGCGCAAAAATCTCTTAATCAAGCCCCTGAATCCGGATGTTCTTTCTTTCTTCTCTGCTTTGGTTTGAATTGCTTGGTCTGAAATTGAAATCTTATATGTGTTCAAAACAAAAGCCGTGCGTCCGCTGTGCTCGAGATGGAAACAGTAGAAAAGAAAGGGATTTTTATATGGTACACGGATCATTACACAATCCGCTTTTGTTAATCGTAGGTTGAAAATGAACCAACTATCCGAATCAATGGCGATGGACATAGATTGTGACGAAGGATATTACATTTGATATGCACTTCAAATTTGACGAAAGAAATTTTATTCCAATCGTTTTCTTGCAAAATTGGGGACTAGTTAGGAGGAATAAAAAGACTTTGATGCCAACACTGAGCATGGTAGCTCGGTAGTAAATGAGTCACACTATCTTCCACATGGTTGTAACTTCAAGCCTTGTCGAGAGTGAACCTCCGGTTAGCTTATGCCTCGGGCATTTGATAAATCATGTGGAGAGATTTCCTAACTTTTGGTATGCCGGTAGGACTGCAGTGGCGAGCCTGTACAGATATGGAGAAACTAAGTAGTCATGGCTCAAATCGAACATTCCATAATGAGTATGAGACACTTATGGCAACCCCCAAAGGGATAACTGCGTTATTCGGCCCCACTATTAAAAAGAAGACCTTCATATCCATACAAAAAATAATTAACAATACGCAATTGGAGCATGATAATTGCAAGTTAAGATGCTAAAAGCTTGTAACAAAGGTATGGATTGGGGATTTAGAAAACTTATTGGAGACCAAGTTGACTTAGGGCTTATTTAGTAACGTTTCTGTTTCTCTGTTTTTCTATTTTTCTGTTCTCCGGAAATCCTTTTAGTAACGCCAGTTAATTTTTTTATTCTCGGGAACAGAAAAGTGGTCATAGATTTGCCTAATAGTTTTGGGTTATAAAACCCTCATATGAGTTATCTACCAAAGTTTATCTTTTTAAGTTTACCAAGTTTTCTGTTAGGTTATGAATTTTTCATTTACCTTGATTAGAACTCCTTACATTTACTAATTGTTTTTAGGATTATTAACCTAAATTAACGTGGCTAACCAAATTTTCTCCCAATAAACTACATTCTGGTGTTGGATTAACCACTCTCATTTAAGTGAGTTAGCGACATTTATTTGTTTTTTATTTTCAAGTTTACTTGTCATTTACAAACTTTTATTTGCATTTTAAAGCAACGACTCAAATTTACCTAGTTTTGTTAGAAATTTCCAACCTTAATTAGAGTGACTTAATATCTTTTTTTTGTTTTGATTAATTGATTACTAACTAGCTTAAGTTACCAACTTTTATTTGAGTTACTTACCAAGTTTATTTTTTCTTTTGATTACCAATATTTCTTATCTTTGACCAACTTTTATTTAACTTTAATAATTACGCCTTAAAGTATTACTAATTTCAATTTAAGCGATTTATCAACTTTATTTCTATTAAGTTATCAACTTCTTTTTTGTTACTAACTCTCATTAAGTTAATTATTAATGCTTATTGATCATTTTTTTTAATTTACCAACTTTTCCATTGTATTTTATCACGGATAAATTTGGTAAGTCAACAAGTAAAGGTTGGTAATTTTACCTATTAGTCGTGTCGGGAAGAACCGATTTGCGGGCATGAAATAACCTCGTTAAGAATGCTGAAAATATGGCAACATAACTCGCATTAAAGTTGTGGTTCTCATTTGTCTAACTCGAAGAGACATGACAAAAATTAGAACATTGTACTTAAAAGAAAGAGATGCCTCTTTGAATTCTACGAGAATCTTTATTCAGCCAAAATTTAGAGCAGAATTCTATTGTTTCGTACCCTTGGTGTGGATTTCTACCCGAAGGGTAAATTTCAATAAGTATTTGGAAAGTGTCGAGAAACTATTGTATAAAGTGACTCATAACTTTGTTTCAAGCAATTTGCTAGTAAGGTACCAACACTTCATGAAACTACAAATACTCTCTAATAGTTTGTAAAGTTCAATTTTTTGTACTAAACTTACCAACTTTTGTTTGCACATATAAATTAGAGCAATTTACTAATTTTATATGAAATTACCAATATAAATTAGAGCAATTTACAAACTTTTATCTATATAAATTTCCACATAGTTTTGGGTTACTGACTCTAATACGAATTACCTACCAATGTTTATTTGTTGTTTTAGTTTACCAACTTTTCTACGGGGTTACGAATTTTATGTACCTTGGTTAGCAACCATATATTTAAGAATTCTTTTTAAGATTACTGGCCTAAAGCAGAGTGATTCACCAATTTTTCTCACATTAAATCACAATATACTATTAAGTTAACAACTCTCATTTGAATAAGTTGGAAACATTTTTTTTTCAACTTATCATTTACAACCTTATATTTACAATTTTCACCAATGATTTAAATTCACCAACTTTTATAGTATTTTACGAACTTTAATTAGAGTGACTCACTATCTTTATTCAAATTAGTTAGTTACTAACTAGCTTGAGTTCCCAGCAGTAAAGGGGCTTGGCGGTCGAGGGTGAGGGGGTGTCTTGCCGGTGGACGGCTCAGCACGTAGCTTGTCCTAGTGAGGTCGCCACGGTTGAAACAAGGACCCCGGATGCGAAGGGACTTTTGTTCCAATGAAAGAGATTGACAGAGCAATTTTTTAGGGCGCGAATGACAAGCATTCTATGTAACGTTTTCCTAATGTGGGTTACATTAATTGAGATTGTTATTACCCGCTTACGGGTCTGGTCTAATAAGTTTGGATATAAGGTTTCTTAATTGGTCAGATATGGGCCCGGCTTGTGTGGACCGAGTTCGGCCCGGCCCGTTATGAGAGGGCCTGGCTGGAAACTCTATAAATAGAGCTGCAGGTCCCTCCTCTGCACCTAACTCTCTCCAATCTCTCTCAAACGCTCTCAAACTCACCTAAGACTTCCATGAGTTGGCTGAGGCGGTCTCATAGCGCCGGGACTTCAGGGGTGACAGGGGAGAAGACCTACAGCACCGGTTCATCGTCATTTCCGCATCCAGGCCGATGGAATCTAAATCAGGTGCACAAATTCTATCCATCCTTTTACAGTACCGTTAATATCTCGCTATGGTGATCCTAGGGCGCTCGGCCGAGACAAACGGGCCGGCCAACATTCTATTCCAAGAATAGATTTCTGGCTAGATTTTTCTATTTGTATCCCTTGGACGAGTTTCTGAACAGAGATGCGTGTTTGCTAACAATACAAAATTTCTCTTCTCGGATCATAAATTTATTTGATAACGTCATAAAATTTCTCCCTCTTATACTCTTTTCCATTCATCGAGGGGCGGCGGCCGGCAGCAGGAGGTGGCGGTTGGAAGGCGATGGGTGGTGGGGGGAGGCGGCGGCCACGTGCGGCGAGAGGCGAGGGCGAGCAATAAGAAGGGTTTTTTTTTCTCTTTTTATTCTAGAAATAGAAAAGTATAAAATTTTTACTTCTTATTTCTGTTCTAAATCTATTTATGGACTAAAAATTTGTTACAGAAATAGAAAAATGAAACTGCGTTACCAAACGGATTTCTGTTCTAGGGATAGACAAAAAAAAAGAAATATAATAGTTATCATGGGCGTCATTTACTAGACTTTCCCTCTGGTTTGTCTTCTTCTTATTCCCTTAGAAACCAACATTGCATGCTCAAGAATTCTGACCACCGGCGCAGTGCTTGACCGAGTTGAATGAATCGCCAGGGCGTTCTCGGTGAGGTAAGGCAGGAATGCGTAGATCGCTGGGCTGCAAGACGTCAGCCTGCAAGAGAGAAGAGCTAAACGTGATCACTTCGAGTGTTTAAGATACGTCGGATCATGTGGTGCAGCGGCAAGACAGGACCAATCGTGCAGAGGCAGCAGGGAGCGACGTGGTATGGCTCACGGTCC